ATGTCCTTGATCGTATTTGAAACCCAAATATTATGAGTAATAAGACCTTGCAGACAGTGAACAGAGAGTGAGAGGACAGTGGTGCGATTGTAATATTGCCACACATCTAGAAAGCACACAATCTTGTAGATCCGAGGTGTTTTGGACCGCATCTATCCATCCTGGTTTATTTATCTCTCGTGCTTTCTCTAATTCTCTCATTGTAATGCTGTGTACAATGTGTTCTCGGTGTGATTATTAGAGTTGTATGGCCTCTTTCAGACATTGAACGCTGAGTTTTTCCAGGATTTGTTCCGTCACTCCAGGAAGCAATCACAGACGGCTTCTAACTTTGACCCTGTTCTGTAATCTTTATGGTTTGAGTGCTGTAAAAAAAAAAAAAGTTTCCACTCAAGTATGTCATCAAACGTTTTGGAAGCGACTTATCTAGATTGAAAGATTGTTCTCTTGCCTAAGACAGTGGTTGCCCTTTTTTCCTACATGTGATGGTTATGCCATTGAAAAACATCCTGCCAACAACTCTTGGAAACTGGGCCAAGGAAGTAACTTTGACAACATGTTTGTTATCTGAACCTGTTGAGCAGATTTAAACACACAGGCACCTTGCAGTGAAAGGTTTTTGAATTAGTCCTGTTAAGAAACCTCCACATTCCAAAGCTTCTGATCCTCTTACATCACCACCAAACGCCCAGTTTTATCTCTGACCCCAAACAAACAAATCCAATCACATCAAACACAGAACACACACAATGTTCCCCGCCAGATCACTTCATCATTTCTTTGCAGAATATCCCAAGAATTTACTATTTTATCATTTGTCTGCGGGCAAAGAGCTGACAAAACAGGTTACATCATCGAAAAGGATGGCTCGTACCCCCCCAACGCACACACATGCACACAGATACAGAAACGAAGCCCCGGAGGTCTTAGGATGCTCCACTCACAGATGGTGAGAGGATGGCAAAGCAAAGGCAGATGGCCCTCTTCTCTCCTCTCCTTCCCTCTCTCACTTTCTTTGCATCCAAAAAGTGCTGTAATGCAAAGATGATGGTAAACCAGGTCAGAAAATTTAGGATCTGCTGCTCAGAAGGTGGATTCTTTAGATTCTTTAAAACCTACCTTTAATGCCAAGCAAATATTTAATTCTGGCCTCCTTTTTGTTTACTTGATGTACAGAATCCTTCCTTTTCATTAGCACCTCGTGTTGGAATACAAGATCACAACAGAGCACCGTTCAACAGTCTCCGACAATGATTTAAAATGTGACTGATGCATGCAGGAAGGCTTGTTGCTGCTCTAACATCTGTTGGCATTAATATGTGTGATTAATGAGCCTGTTAGTGTTGCACAGTGGCTACGGATGCTTTTCTCATCTCAGATCTGATAGAAACTGTGCATCTCCCTGTAAATAAATTTGAATAAAGAAAAGAACAGGCTGATTCCAGGCCAGCGGTGGTGGCGGCGGCACCATTGTGCATTGCGTAACCACACTGTCACATCCCACTAACACTCTGCCCTTGGAGTAAATCATTCGAGCAGCTGAATGAGATCCAATCTGTCCTGCGCACAAATGTCATGCAGGGGTGTGTGTAGATTTGCTGCTTTCCGCTGATTTTGTGTTACATTTGATCAGAGAGAAACATCCCAGAAGAGAAACAAATAGGATGAAACACCCAATTCACTCTGAGTTAATGGATATGAGAGAGACTCCACAAATTTTCAACCAGAAAGATTTCGAAATGAAGCAACGATCCATAAGTAGGACAAGACGGAACTAACTGTCTAATCCTTTCAGGACAGTCCTGTTAAGTTCCCACCTATACATGTAGATCAGACTGGGGAAAGACTTCATTACATAAACATGTTTCCCACCCTGCACTTGAGAAATACCTGTAGCGCAGAAAGTGTACCAACACTGTGGCTGTTTGGACCCCTTTCACAACATTGTGAAATACTTGAGTTGTGTGATGTGACGTGAGCAGCCTACATGGATAACACAGCTCCTGCATGGGCCAAAAGGTCAAGAATTAATGCCCGGTTTTGATCCGTTCTGCACCTTGTCTATAGGTGAAGTGATACAGACGTGTTATGCAACAAGCAGACACTATAGGGTAAAACAGCAGAAGCATCAGAGATCAGTAACTACTGATCTCGCCGAGAGCAGGCCTAATTGCTGGTGTAAGTTGTGTTATGTAATGGTGTTTTACTGTACTCATTCAGGGTAATCAGTGATTAATTAATTAATGCTGTTGAACAAATCAGCCAGCTTTCCTCATACAGGCGATTATTAGTGTTAGTTACAGTAGATTCTCATGGCGACAACCACATAGATTTACAATTCAAGCCCCCACAGATCATCAATTAACCTCCCAGGAAGATACAAAGCAGTCAGTGGAAAAAAAAAAAAAAAGCAAAACATAGGCGAACAACTCCAAACCCACAGCTCACGTCCTCATTCAAATATTGTGATAACATACAGCTGGTCCAGACCCTGCAGCAGTCTGGGTTTGAATATCAAACAAACACACATTTCCTTACAGTCCAAACACGCCAGTCTGTCGAGGTGCCAGGACCTGCCATATGACAGTTAGATACAGACCGAGGAGGGAGAGCTGCCAGACGGACCAGACTTTCAGCCAGAAAGTAGCAAACCCCCATGTGATATTGTGACTATAAGAGAGCAGACATGGCTTTCAGGGGAGGAAAAAGAAATCAGATTTGTGGGGCAGGAGGAGAACAAGCAAGGGATCGGCGCTCACTCCTGTAAGATCTCAGCTTCATGAACCCCCCGCCAGTTATACTGACCATTAAAGCGAGCAATAAAGCACTAGAACTACCTTTCAGAGGATGAACTGCACACAAATAAAAGTATCTTGACATGCTTTGCTTTTTTTTTTTTTGCAAAACACTGATCTGATGGCTCTCAAGAGCTTGTGAAAATATATAAGCAAGAACAGTGTGCATGTAGGTGCTACAATGAGCAAAAGTATTTTCTTTCTTTCTTTTTTTTTTTTTTTAATGCTTTCCTGTTACTAAAATGTGTTTTGGAGGCAGAACATTCACAAACCGTTCTTGAAAAAAAATATCCCCAAATCTGGATTCACGAGGGCCTTGCCCAGGAGCAACAATCTATTTTAACACATGTAGACAGAAGGTTATCTATTTTTCTTCTTAAAAAACACAGAATGGGGGAAAAAAGGTTTGAAAATATGAGAGATTTAAAAAAACAACAGAAAGACAGAGTGCAGGAGAGAGGCTGGGAGAGGTGGTGGCAGTGGACTCTAGTGGGTCTGACACACTGACAGGCCAAGCCATACACAGAGCAGTCTCCTCCTCCTCCCCTGCCTGGCCTATATTAACTTTCCATGGAGCTCCACCTCACAACCAGAGGCACATGGAGTAGGATAACACACCGCCAAGGCTCTGAGAATACATTCACATATCCACACATACCACTGAATCCCTTCACCTGTCCGTGTTCTTGGATATATATTCTCCTGGATGGACTGTTAAACTTCTGCACCATGTTGTTGCGGATGCCTGAGGAGAATGTCAACCTCGGTGAGTGGCCAAATTAAAAAAAAAAGAAAAAGCAGACGTGAATGTGAATGATGTCGGGGATGCTTTTGTGTGGAATTCGGGCAAAAAACCTGGGAGAACAGGTGCTTAATTACCATTTGCGACCAGCATACAGGACTCCTGGATTGCAACAGTGCAGTGTTTGTTTTGGGACCATATATTACAATACAGCTCTATCTGTCAAGTCAAGGCTTGATGTTCAACGTCTGTGACAACAGAGGCCTGCTGTACAGCAAGTAAAAACTCCGGCAGAGACACGCTATTAATGATTTTTTTTAAACATCTTCTTCTAGTCAATCAGAATGTAAGGAGATTATCTCAGGTGAGACACAGTACGTGACTTTACCTTATGACCTCCATTCTGGGACAGCGCAGGGCAAAGAGCACCCGTGGTGCAAGCGTGCACTCGTACTTCGTCTAACCAACGTGATTCGTAGTTATTAAAGCTTTCATCACAAACAAACAGTGAGTTCTGTAAAACGGTGCCACGTGCCAAAGGAAAAAACAACATTAGGGCTCAGATGAAGGGAAATTTTTAACTGTCTCTAGTAATTTCTGATTTGTGGAGGATGGAAGTGTTTGGCTGGATGGAAGTTGGCGAATTTCATCCTGAACATTGGGACACAGGCTGAAAATGTCTATAATATATAGATCCCCGATCTGATATTTGGGTGCATTGTTGCACTGCGGGAAATATATGAAGTTCCTTAGAAGAAAGAATTTCAAGCTGCTGCCTTGACCTCTGACCTTTGACAAGAGAAGGGGAATCACATTTTGGAACAAAGCACCATTGTTGCAACTTTTACTAAACAGCTGCACTATTACAATTTATGAATGAGAAACCTTCTTCAAGTAGTTTCTTATATCCTTCTTATATATAAAGGCCTTGCTGCATCTATGGCACCCCCCTTTTCTATCTCTCCTCCAAATAAAACACTAATTCGTCTACATACTAAGAGATATGGTTCCCTATGATAACTATATTATGAGATTGCAAAACCTGAGGATTTATTATTTAATTATTACATAACTTTTGGGGGATATTGGTGCATCTAAGGGACATCTTTATCACCTAAAAATAAGAGTAGCTGAGAAAAAAAACAACAATCTGCATCATCTCTTTTCCCAACATTTCTCTCGCTGGCTCCGACTAATAACCGAGACAGAGAGTCGCCTCTGTCGCATTCAGTTCAGTCCGCATGCAGCTCCAGCTCTCCATCGAAGAGCCCATCCCGGCCTGCGAGAGGCATCTGCATTCTCGGACACATGGGCTCCCACATGGTCTGCCTGCGGATGCTGATGTAGACTTGCTGCGGCTGTGATGCTGCTGCTGCTGCCTGCCCGCCCACCCATCCATCCCTCCTCATCCATCCATTCACAGCCTCCACAGCACCAGGCGCTGCGGGACACCAGCCGCAGTCTGAATGAGAGATTTGAACAGAGAGGGAGAGAGAGCGGGGAAGAAAAAGAAAAACACACAGCGCCTTGCTTGAGCCTCTTGACTTCGATGTTGCCTGCTTGAGCCTCTTGGAAGGGGAGGAGGATGTGGTGATTGTGAGGGAGGACCGCTAAAACAGAAACACCCGCATCTCGGTGCCAGATGGACTTTCTAAATCCGCAAGCCGCAGTGAGTGTGACCTGTCCCGGGGATTTTTCTCACTGACACGACTAATGCAATACTGCGTGGCATAATCTGCAAACAGCTTTAATTCCCGTCAAAGGGGAATAAACAACTAGCCTAGTGGACCAATTTAGGAAACAACAGCTTATTATATAAAAAAAACACAACAACAACAATTGGGCGTACTGTAAGCTATAAAAATCGCATGGATGGAAAAAAAGTAAAGATCAGACTACAGCCTGAGAGCTGTTTAAACTGCACCTAGATCTACATTTCTCCTGCACTTGATTTAACTTTGGAAGGCTGTGAAATAATAAACCACAAATAGAGAGAAAATATAAACACTGAAGTCTAAATTCAGATAAACTAAGCAAAATAAACAACTGCAGTGACATCTGGACTGCAGCATTTTGTTTTGCAACACAACCAAGAATGCCTCATCATGGAGCATTTTGTTAAACACAAAAATATGTTGTTTTCCTTCACATGTTTATTTCCTCCAGGATTCCTTGAAAGCCCTGCAAGCAGTGACAACTTTTTTTTTATTTTTATTTTTTTATTACAGTTGCAGCTGTGACTGATCTTGGCTTTAATGTGCCATCACATTTACGTATAAAGTTGGTGATGATTACCACGTTTATTGCATGCATTGTTGTGAACTGAATACTGCTGTTATAAACGGTAAACATGGAGTTTTTGAATCGACCGCTGTCGCGTGATCTCCAACTTCAAACAAATGTTTTGAATGACTCCTGCTGCTTTCAAGTGCTGCTCGAAGATCCGAGCAGCACGTCTCCGAAGTGTGTAGTGTCCTGAGACGGCATACATTAATAGATAAATTATTTATGTTAATCATAAAGATATTCTGTACAATATTTAAATTTAGAAAATGTGTTATTAAAGTGGAAGTCTATGGAATACAATACAATACAATACAATACAATACAATACAATACAATGCTTTTATTGTCATCAGACTCAAAGTACAACGAAATTAAAAGAACTCCTCTGGTGCAAAATACAAGTATAAAATAAGACAAATAAAATATATAACTATATTTACAAAAGGAGTATATCTTTTAATAAAAAACACTTCAAACGTCAGTTGCAGATCTATCAACTCTACTTATGACATTTTGATTGCAATTCTAAAATATTTAAAAGACTAAGAGATCGACAGACTGTTTCTGTGATCATTGTAAAAATCAGTCAATGTTAATAATGAGAAATAAAACTAATAGAAAAGCTGTCAATGTTGGCTGATAACCACATTTTGTTTGCTAGTAGATTACTGCATGTAAACAAGCACAGTTCATTAATTATTTAAAAAATGAACCCGATGACCCCCAGAGTGGCTTCAGTGTCATGTTTTCGAATTACATCTATTTATAACGCACAGCTGACCAACGTGCTGTACATATTCACACAAAAAGATGTGTAGACAGACAAAATTTAAAAAATATGTAATAGACTAAAACAAATGTTTAGACAATAACAAACTAGTAAAATCAAGTTTCAAATGTTAAATCAAGAGGATAGCAGCTTGTAGGTTATTTGTGGTTCATACAATCAATTCGACATGATTAGTCAGTTAATAGTGACTGAAAATAGGCCTTGGCATTACTGCAAATAACCACTTGAACGTATGGCCTGTGAAGCGCTCCTACCGTAGTGGGAGGTTTCCGACGGTCCGTGAAGGCGGCCTCGCGACGTCACCGCAGCCGTTCGTAGCTCAGCCCAGCCTAAATGGCGATTGCAACAGATCCGCAGAGCCCGGGGAGCGAAGCGCACTCAAACCTCGTCTAGGTTTGACTTAAACACGCAACCGAACTAATGCAACGAACAAGGACTGTGAGTACTTTGCTATATGTCGATTTGTGACACTGGTGTTTCCACTGTGCGCCATTTCGAGGCGGTTTCGCCGCCGTTTCGAGCGGTTTAACCGACCTCGGCTTTGTGCTGCTTAGCGCTAGGAAAGCCGTACCACGTAGTCAAAAGCCTCCGCCAACAACGGCTCCTTTGTTCGCCTTATCGGCGGTTTTCTCTTTAACGCTGGGTTTGTTATTCACCAGACTGACGGTCTGGTGAGATGGCTGTCTTACCTGTGTAACTGGCTCAACGTGAATAAAACGAAATTAGTGTAAATGCGATAAATTAAGTCGACGATGGTCCGATAGTAGCTCGCCTGCTTGCCGTCATGCTTCCATTCGTGGCTCTTTTTTCCGCCAGCCACTCACACACCCGGTGAAGGCCAAAAAACAGACGATGTCAACTCGAATTAAAAGCTTTTATTTGCCTTTTAATGTGTGGTGTGTGTACATTTTTTTTTTTGTTGCTGTTCGTTTTTGTTTAGCCTCTGGGTTATCAGACAATTTGGTCGATACTAAGAAACCGGACAAGCGAGCGCCTAAACCGGGCGGGGGAGGGGTTAGTTTCCTTAATGACACCGCGGCTAACGTAAAGCTGGTGGATAAGACGGTTTGTTGTTTTGGTGGAAGCCCCAACATTTATTTATACTGATAAGGCCTAAATGGGACTATATTTTGTCACTTAAATGTAAATAATCTGTTTTTTTTACAATTTGAAACTTGGAACTCCTTTCTGATCTTATACTACATAGTTTTTTCTAACCCTTTTGTTTTTATTCTGTTTTCTCTTGTTTTTCAGGTTATACCCAACTAAAATGGAGGATAGTTTTGATTGTGACTGTGGCGAGCTTGAGCCACCTGATCATTGAGGGCGAAAAATTACTTTGAAGACTTCAAGGCCAGACTCATTTCAGTTTTATAGATCAGGTGACGTGAGGGGGAGAAAAAAAACAAAAAAACAACAAAAAACTAAGCAGACAGATTTAAACATTTAAAATATAAGAAGAAGAAAAAAAAGTGCATTTAGGCACATTTCATATGAAGCTGCTCAGGACCAGTCATACACTGAATGTATCTGCACTGTGAGGATGCAACTGCGTGCTTTTATAGTTTAACATAGTGTCAGTGCTTTTTAATTGGCCTCAAAGTTCATTCCATTGCAGTCTATAAACACTAGTTTACTGTTCAGTTAAAGATATCCACAGTGGATTGGAGGGAAATTCAACTTTTTAAATTTCTCTCCTTTGTTCAAAATGGAAAGAAAGTTTGACTGCACGTTAGTGCCCCGCATCTGACAGTGAGGGCGAGACAGGGGGATTCTGTAGTCATCTGTACAGGGGTCAGTCAGCTCAGCCTCTGAAGCAGAGGGGGACTTATCTGATAAAATCCTCTGCAGGCGTTAAAGTTGGGCCTGAAACAGGCAAGAGAACAAACGTTAGAAATAGCAGAAGTTTGGTGTAAAAGCCTTAAAAAAAACGAAATGGCGGAGAAGTTTGAGTCCCTGATGAACATCCATGGGTTTGACCTGGGCTCTCGCTATATGGACTTGAAGCCTCTGGGCTACGGAGGGAACGGCCTGGTGTTCTCAGCAGTTGACACTGACTGTGACAAGCGTGTTGCTGTGAAGAAAATCATCTTGACCGACCCCCAGAGTGTTAAGCACGCACTGCGGGAAATCAAGATTATCCGACGCCTGGACCATGACAACATTGTCAAGGTAAGTTGAAGGACTGAACATATAGAAGAGTATTTATCCTATTGTATAAATAATGAGAGGAAATTATTGTAAACCGGCATTCATCACTGACCTTTCTCATTATGTCACCAGGTGTTTGAGACATTGGGTCCCAGTGGTCGCAGACTAACGGAGGACGTGGTATCCCTGACGGAGGTCAACTCGGTCTACATTGTGCAAGAGTACATGGAGACAGACTTGTGTCAGCTGCTGGAGAAGGGCCTTCTGTCTGAGGGCCATGCCAGGCTCTTCATGTACCAGCTCCTCAGGGGCCTTAAGTACATCCACTCTGCCAATGTGCTGCACCGCGACCTCAAGCCGGCCAACCTGTTCGTCAACACAGAAGACCTGGTTCTCAAGATTGGGGACTTTGGCCTGGCCCGCATCATGGACCCCCACTACTCCCACAAGGTAAGACCAGTCTCTGAGTAGCAGAATTCAGAATATGATTGCTGTGGGGTTTTGTGAGGAGTGGTTACAATGCTGCATAGACTTTATATCTAAGAAGAGCAAACCTACCAGTGTTGGTAGACTTTCCTGTACCAAGATGAGTGCTCAGTTGCTGTGACACAAGCTGTTTATTGCCCAGTAATGCAGTATTCCCCAGGGTAACGCAGTTTTTCACAGCAGGAAGTAAACAAGACAGGATGTGGTTCCTTGAGGTAACGCCTCTGTTTCCCCTCTCAGGAGAAGTAAGACTGGAAAACACAACCCTGGGAACTGTTTTTGTTCCATTATAGCTCAGTATACATAGCTAGAATTGAAAATCAACTCAGTTTCAAGTCTAAGTATGCACATGAGTGGATTTATGATAATGTGGCTTGCTAAAACTAAAGACAAGACACATTGCACGGTAAAAGGAAATGCAAATATTTGAATGTTGCAGTCTCAGTTCAGTTTGAGCCTTCGTCAGCTTCTAATGATGATATTGAATGCTTGAGGCTGCGGCAGATCCATTACAGACATGCTGCATTAAAATAATGTAAAGGTCTATTTATATCTGAGAGTCTATGTTTTCCCTCAGTTCCATTTGCAGGAGGTCATTAATCCAATTGAATGCATATGAATTGCAGAAACAAGAAAACAAGATCTCAGAAAAGACGTTTTCTTTGTTTCTCATCACATCAGAAAGAAGCACATTGTAAACTTGGACATTAAAAGCCAGATGTTGACACACCAAATGTTGAATGCACACATTTTAAGGCCCTCTTTAAAAGCTGTATTTTGTTTTGTGAAGCAGCGTAATGGCAGCAGTAAAATACGTCTTTGGTATGAGGAGAGATCGCCCTTTCTAACGGCAGCCATGTGGAATGCCTGTGTTGCCCTTGTGTGTGTTGCTGTCACCTTATAAAGGGATGAGGAAATGCTAGTTGATGGCCATATGGTGGTGTGATGTGAGAAAATCTAGGTTGGGAAGAATATCCCTCCCCTCTGAGTGTAGTTGCTGGATCTCCTTAGAGCAGAGAGGCAGTCAGATGCTTACACGTGTCTCAGATTAGTCATCGGAAGGTCTGAAGTTAGCTCACGTGATGTGATCCCTCTGGCTGGTAGAGCCTCATTCATATCCCTTTCACAGCCACAATCCTGCCACATCATATGCCACTGTGAGACAGACTTGCACACACTTGTTTACCATAACCGCTTATTTCAAGCACACCATCACTACTCCATGTTAAGAGTCTAGTCACATTTTCAGCGCTGACTTCTATATTCTCATATGAGTCACATCTTCAGTTGAGACAGTATGTCACTGTGCAATAAGAAGAGGAAGGCGAGGGCTCATAGTTGCCGGGAAGAAGTGAGAGTTTCTCACACAGTTCAGTCACTGTAGCCGCCACCTTCCCTTTAACGCAGAGTTTGCCGTGTGGGCGTTTTCCCTCTGTATAAGCAGTTTTTCCTGATGGGAAACATGCAGGCGAGTGGGTATTGAAAAGCTGCTTGCCTTAGGTCAGCTCTCTTGTGTTTGACTCTTTTCTGCTGTAGTAGTGAAACAGACGAGTGCTAATGAGCTTTTGTCAAGGATGCAAACACTGTAGATGGACTGAGTTTAACAGGTTTGAACAAAGCCTCCCTTTCTGGACTATGTTGCTGTGTTTTCACTGTGTCTACTGTGTGGTGAGAGAAGCAGAACTGATATCTCTACCAACCACTATGGCATCTATAGTTATCTGATATGTGTGTCTCGGAGCAAATGAGGCATGTTTAAAAATGAACCCATCACCCCCACACAGCACTATAGTGCCCAGTGGAGTGTGGAGGCATAAAAAAAAGAAAAAAAACATTTCGTTTCAGTATTGGCCGGACAAGATGGCAGTATTACTCGGGGCAAATATGCTTTCACAACCACCCTCTACTTCTAGCAGGCAGGGTGAGACAGAGCAGCTGGGTGGTTGAGTGCATGTTATTTGAATAACGCCGTTTCTAAATAAAGAAGCGCTCTTTTCAAGTGAACCTCAGTTTCTGGCAAAGTTTCAGTAATCAGGATTTATGCTTTAGGTAACATAGACACACGGCATTTGTTTCGTCTTTTCCTCCCACGTTCCTACTTTGTGGAAATGCCTGAGTTAATAAAAGATGTAGCACCTCACTGGGTTCCCTTTAGGCTTTCATTAATCCTGCATGGTTTTGTTTTAAGTGCAAGTACCTGTGTCTTTGCTATCACTGTTTGGAGAAGCAAGCTGTTTTCTGCCTGTGTGAACTTTGTGGTCGGCCCTCGTGGTGGCCCAGGCTCAAGAATGACAAGAATTCACGTGCACTCATCCAACTTCTCCAATCCCGAGTCCCCTCCTTTTTGTAGCCAGTTCTTTGTCTTGCTGTGGGAGCCTTGCTTAGAGCTCTTATTCGAAGCTGATCAAAAGCTCATGTTCATTTCCAGTTGGGGCCCAACCTCGACGAGAGAAAGACGGAATAGTGGATACAGCTCTCAGCCATTTGGGTTTAGAATTTTAAAAAGCTATTTTGAGTTTTTAAACAAGCATAACTGAGGCCATAAACTACTTGGGGGAGATAGTGTAACTAACTAAATGTGTGTCTTAGCTAAGTGATTTCAGATCTGCTCAGTGTAGCAACACATTTTCTGTCTTAGTTTTCACATGTTGCATCACAGTATGACTAATCATTTGCTTTGAAAGTTAACAAACTGTTTAAGCCGAGTCTTGTCTTCTTTTGAAACATAGAAGTGATAGACAAACTTGTCTGGGGCATACAGATAATTTAGGACTGTAGAGGATGATTTTTTTGTTTCCTCTAAGCCAGAGTAGTTGCACTAATGTAAACTTGGAGAGGTTGTCTTGCTGTAAAATTCAGTAATTTGAGATGCAGTACCGATAATAACTGAAGTTTTCAGGAATGTAATGAGAAGTAGAGTTCACTGAGGTCTTTGCTGCCACACAAACTTTCTGCAGTACACTACTCCAAACCACAACTGCAGTAACACACATACACACATATTTGACCCAGTTGTTTAGCCAGAAACAGGCCTGTCTGGCATCAGACTTCACAAGATCTAGGAAGAAAACTGCTAGGGAGTCGACTTCAGGCTTGATGAATTTCAAAGAGATGGTTTCACTTATTTTCCCACATCTGAAAAAAATCCTTTACTTTGCTGCAACAGTAGTTAATCATGGTCTGCAACAACAAGAAGTAGCCTGAATTATGATGAAAAGTTGTAGACCAGTTTGAAATAAATTGTCTATTAATTATGTCCGTGGGACAGCAGCGAGGCAGTGCTGATCCCCTATTTACAGTCCAATCATCAAACAGTTAAATGATTCATGTGGGTGGATGAAGATTAAAATACAATGTCAGCAGGGAAATCTATTGTGTAAGCCATAAGTCACCAGCTTCATTCTGGAAGTGGAGGCAGTGCTGAGGATGGTTTTGTTTTATTGTAAAACCACCTTTACTGACATCTGGTCAGACCTGCTTCAGGTTTCTGTGACAAACCACAGTCTGACACACACTGAGAGGCTGTTATGAATCATTAAATGTCAGCCTGATCTGATCTAGACCAGGTGGTTAGGTTATTCACCAACTGTTGCCGGTGATGCTTTCATGCCCATGTGTCTGTCTGTATGGTGAGTGGCCTACTTAGAAATCAGTAAAAGAGGTGAACTTGAATGTTCACCTAATGCACTTTATGCTGCTAGGCAAGCTTTAATCTGCTCCTTTCAGTTCAGAGTCCATCGTACACAGAATTGTCCTTATGCAATGACCCAACAATTTTTCAAACTAACCTAATTTACATCTCTGTCATAACGCTCTAAGCTGGCTGCATGTATTTCTCTGCCATAACCACAGTCACATGTGGCAGCTTTATTAGCGGTTTCTCAGAGTGGGTGCTGGACAGACTTACAGGTGTCAGTCGGTTGTGTGTGACTTGTCTGTGTGCTGCAGTACCATTTTAATTCCTTTTGACCTTTTTACAAGCTTCTCTCAGACAAACAGATTAGTTGGTTACATGAAGGAAGGAATTTTATCTGCAGTCTACATGGCGTGTCATTTATAGGCCTATCAAAACAAGGGCTTGCAGAGCAGTGATACACATCAGGATAGTGTGACATCAAGTATTTGCAGCTAAATTAGGGCAGAAACAAGAGCCATGCTCAGTGGTGAGCTGACCATTTTGGTCTCACTACAAACTACCTCTGCATGTGGGGGGGGGGTGGGAAGAGGGTAGCAAGGGGGTTGTTTTACCACTTCCCCTCCCCCAGTGTATACACACACACACACACACACACACACACACAGAGGTTAGTTTCTTTTGTATTCAGTGTCCTCCTATCCCTGTGGCTAGTCAGGCACTATTTGAGAGTGGAGTGCAGGTTGGTGTCACTGGTGTGGCGGTGGGGGATTATCCTGCTCTCTCAGACTGCTGACAGGGCCTGCACGTGTCTGATCTCCCCCTTTTCATCTGTCTTTTCTCTCTGTGGTCTTTGTCTCTGTGCTGTGTTGCATACGTGACACAGAACAGGTCTGTTAAGGAGATAGGACAGGGCCTACGAAGTTTATCACAGACCAGAAACGCTGTATGAAAAACATGGAGGTACATGAAGTAATACAAATTACATCTATTTCTGAGGGCCATGGCAGATTTGAAACAATTCATGAATGGTCATTAATGAGCAAGAGGTAACTTCCAGAAAAAATACTTCAAAATGGGGGACAACAACAGAAGAAACAGATTTGCAATTTATGAAACAAAACAGAATCAGTGTTATATTACCCATCAAAAAAAGTTTGTGTTATTGTCTGGCTTAAAATCTCATCAGTGAAATGGTATAGTTAGAAAATACTGAAAGCACTTTGACTAAAGAACTTCTGAAATGTATTTCTGGTCCCCAGAGGAACTCTATTGTGAGTTTAAGTTGCACTCTGCTGTGCTTTGTAGTTTTTCCTCTTTTCTTTTCCTAACGAAGTTCAAATTATTGTGTTGTCTCCACCTATCCCAGGGTCATCTTTCTGAAGGTCTTGTCACAAAGTGGTACAGATCTCCTCGCCTGCTGCTTTCTCCTAACAACTACACCAAAGCCATCGACATGTGGGCTGCTGGCTGCATCTTTGCTGAGATGCTCACAGGGAAGACTCTTTTTGCAGGTAAATGTTTCCTCGGTTTCTCATGTCTGACTCACTGCAGTACCTTATGTACAAACATAAGCTATCTTTAAAGCAGTTTGATTGTAAATGTGGGGCATAGGTCACATAAGGCATAAGCTTATCTTGCTAGTCTATATGTCTGCTTGAAACAGACAAAGATACGCCCAGTGTCAGTCTGCTTTTACTATCCTTACTGGTCTTTGCTAATCGGGCTGGAGTTGCAAACACTAAATGTTTTTGTTTGTTAAAACTGCCTTGAGCTGAGCACAAGACAAATAACATTTCCATTCCCATGATCTGCTGTGCTAAGCCTCGCTCTAGTCAGGTATGCAGATGTTGAATGTTGTATAACTCTTCTAAAGTACTCAGTGCTTGTCTACATGGTGTTTCAGGAGCACACGAACTGGAGCAGATGCAGCTGATCTTGGAGTCCATTCCCGTACTGCGAGAGGAAGACAGACAGGAACTCCACAGTGTCATCCCCGTCTTTATCCGCAACGACATGTCCAAGCCTCACACACCACTGGCCAAGCTGCTGCCTGACGTCAGTCCACAGGGTGAGTGTCGCGCTAAGCATCCAGAACTACTTGCAGCCTCATAAAGTAATCAGGGTGTTGTCACTCATACATCTGTCCTACTTAACAATCTCATTGCCATTGTCCTTTACAGCCCTGGATTTCCTGGAGAAGATCCTGACCTTTAACCCCATGGATCGTCTGACTGCGGAGGAGGCCCTGGCCCACCCCTATATGGCTGACTACTCCTTCCCCCTGGATGAGCCTGTCTCTCTGCACCCCTTCCACATTGAGGATGAAGTAGATGATATCCTGCTCATGGACCAGAGCCACAGCCACACCTGGGACAGGTGCGTTTGCTCACTTATTGCCTCTCAAACACCTGCTCTTTCAGAGAGATGACGTTTCATTGTACCCTTGTTCACACATTTTTCTTATGTGATTACCTTCAGTGGAAAATATTTTTTGTTTGCTTCCTATAGAGCAGTGAGAGTGCCAAACTGCAAAAATAAATTAACTGGCTCTGAAGGTTCCGAAGCGGAACTTTGGTTCGTCTGAATTATGTTCTTGTGTTCCTCGCCTGTAGTACCATTTTGCTCAAATCTTATCACTGTAACTGTACATTGAAAATAAAATCTAAGCAATATTTTATTGGAGGGACAGCTGGATAAACCAGGTCCTCACTGACTGCTGGGAGACTCCACAGAACATGAGCAGCTCCAACCTGGACCTTCTGACAGAGCATCTTCAGCAGCATGATGCTGTTAATGGAAACTGATCAGCTCCGCTAAAGAATAACCGTCAGAGCCAGCAGCAGACTTCAGAAAGTCTTGCCGACATCAGGCTGTCCTCGGTGGCTACTGTGAGCGCTGACTGCAGTCACAGCTGTCAAACCGGGACGCTCACATCTCCAAAATCGTTGGGGCAAAATTTTAAGCAGGCTTTAGCTTTATCTTGATCCATTGACCACAGATTTGATGTTTAAAATCAGATTTGACGTCTAAAATAATCTTAAAACTACATTAAGTGTCACAGTAACAGTAGTAGGTACAAAAAAAAACTTGTTACCTGTGAAAGTTTTCTCCTCGGCTTTTGTTGCTGGTTGGCGCGAAATGCATTCTGGGATACTTACTGTCCCAAATCTACACAAGGCCGTTTCTCAATACTCAAGAAGCAAGACTGTACTTGCGTACTATTCCTTTTGCACCTGCTTCTACTGCGCACCTTTTTCTGCACATCTTTCCTTTGCTTTTAAATGTTGCTTTAAATTAAAAGTTGTTTTAAAAGCAAAATAAGGAAAAGTCACTTTAAATTAAATGTTGCTTTCAAAGCAAAAAGTAAATAAATAAATACATAAATAATAATAATTATCATAATAATAATAAAATTAAAATTGAAAATGATTTTAAAAAATACAATTTAAAATAAAATTTAAAAATAATAAATACATTAATATATTTATTCTTTTTATTTCCACTTTTGTTCTTTTATTGATTTATTTTTGTAATTTGGCACTCTCACTACTCCATAGCTTCCTGTAAACTAAACAGTAATGGTTATAGAAGTGACCTGACAAGGACAAGCAAAACAGGTTTTACTATTTTCTGACTGTTCTGGTTATGTTTGCATAGTTATACCATTGATTGAGGAATTTTTCATATTTATTATTTCTGTTCTATTAGGTACCATGAGAGCCAGCTCTCAGAGGCTGATTGGCACCTGCACAGCACCCATGACCCAGACGAAGTTCAGGTTGACCCAAGAGCACTCTCTGATGTAACAGATGAGGAGGAGGTCCAGGTGTGTAGAAGTTTAGACAAACATACTTATACTGCTGTTATAACATTGAGCTTCTCTATTTTTGTCAACTTGAAAATACATTTTCAATGTTAATTAGAAGTACATGATGGTACATAGGTTAGGTATTATGTTGGTGTTAAAATGTTACATACCAAATAAAAGATAGCTTAACCAAGTCAACAAATGTATAGAGATCATATTTCTTACTCCTGACTGACTTAAAGATACTTTATGATGTGATGTTAAAAGTTGACTGTTGTCTGTTTCCAGGTGGATCCTCGTAAATATGCTGATGGAGATCGGGAGAAGTTCCTGGACGAGCCGTCCTTCGACTATTCAACTCTGTTCCCACCAGAGCGGTCCTGGCAGGATGACCACCACGAGAACAAGTATTGTGACTTGCAGTGTAGCCACACCTGTAACTACAAGGCCGTGTCACCCTCCTACCTGGACAACCTCATCTGGCGGGACAGTGAAGTCAACCACTACTACGAGCCCAAGCTCATCATTGACCTCTCCAACTGGAAGGAGCAGCAGAGCAAGGAGAAGGCCGACCGCAAGGCCAAGAGCAAGTGTGAGAAGAACGGGCTTGTGAAGGCCCAGATTGCACTGCAGGAAGCAGAGAAAACCCAGAGTCCGGTGGAGAAGGACAAGACGCAAGAGAAACACCAGACAGAGAAACCTCAGAGCCAGCAGAACCAAGGCTTTGACTTTGACTCCTTCATCGCCAGCACCATTAAACTGAGCCTGCAGCCAGAGCCCTGTCAGGAGGTGACCCTGCTCAGCGAGGTGGGCCTCCTGAATGAGCTCAACTCTTCCGTCTCCCAACTTGAGGCTCCTCGCTCAAGCTCCATGTCCATGTCCAAGTCCATAAGTCAGGAGAAAGAGGAGAAGTGCCTGGTAAACCTCGCCCAGTTAGGTGGAGGAGGGCTGGGAGTCAGCGGCGGGGACTGCGTCTGGCCTGCTCACCCCTGGGAAAGCTTCGGCTCTGGGGAGAGAGTCGGGGAGAATGGCTGTTTGATAGATGAAGCATGCTGGGACATTCGCAAAGAGGACCACTTCCAGAAGGAGAGCACCTACACCAGCTACCTGGACCGCTTGTTCAGCCGGAAGGAAGAGGGGGTCGCAGAGACTGTGGCCAGTCCAGAGATGGAGCCCTCAGTGGTGAGCGAGCTGGACGAGAGCTTCCTCGACAGTAACACAGAGATTGTGCTTAATATGCAGCTGGACTCTCTGGCCCTGCCCGGCTTTGACAGCACTGATGACTTGCCTCTAAAATCCATCCAGGCGTCCCTCACCCCCTGCGCTGTCAAATGCTCCCCACAAATTGCCCACAAAACATACAGCAGCATCTTCAAGCATCTTAATTAAAGAAATATATATATATATCCTCCTCACAGTGCAAAATTTAGACCGTTTTGTTTTTATGTTTTTTTTTTAATAATATGATATATTATTGTACTTGAATCATTTCATACCTTTTTTATTATGGTTACTTTTAATTATAAGTTTTTTTGTAAGAGTTGAAAGGGGTGATTTATTTAAAGAGTTTTGGTCATCACTCTGAGCCTTGATCACCAGGCCTTCATGGGTTAATGTCTACGCCCTCATTGCTAAACTGGCATGTCACTCGCACACTTAAGTACTGTAGATGAAAGGTGAGCAGGAGAGAAGTAGCTAGAAGAAATCTGAACAGGAGGAAAGGATTTAAAAAAGAGGAGATTTTGGCTGTTTTTGGCTATGATATGAGGAAGGATGGTAGACGCTGACATTGCTGTGGGCTTTTAAAGTGCTTTCAAATAGCCTTTTCTTGGGATGGGAGAAAAAAAAGGGGGGGGGGGGGGGGGGGGGGGCTTTTTTTTTTTTTTTTTTTTTTTTTTTAATTTAAATTTTTTTTTTTTTTTTTTTTTTTTATTATTTTATTTTCTTTTTTTTTTTGACTTTCTAACATTTTCCCCCAAAGAAAGCTTCCTTAATAACCCTTTCATACTGTAAATCTGACACATGATGCCAGCAGCAACCATTATCGTAGGCGTTAATGTAAATGTGTTATCTACCTCAAGGTAACAGCCGCGAGAGACACTCGAAGCCGCACTAGTGCTTTACACACATGACCATCCTCATACCATGAAATGAAGTGGTCGCGTAGATGAAATCTGTCTCACTTTAGCATTTAACATAGTGAGGTGTTTCAGTAATCATTATTTATTTCTAGCAGATGTGCGATATTTATTTTATCAAAATGTGTTATTTCAATGTGATTATTGAAGATTGAGGAGTTGGACAGACTTCCATTTTCATTTCGGCACTATATGGGCGTGCAAGTGTTCCTTTGTTCTAAGGTAGGATGCAAATCATGTGTTATGTTTTAAAAGAAGTTGAGGCTTTCCATTTTCCATCAATATTGTTATAATGGATATCATTCTTTTTTTTGTCCACTTTGTTTTTTATTTATAGGTGCGGTCTGTCTTTAGTGGAAAAACTCTTTAAAGAAGCGCCTAAGAGTCTTAATTTTTTTTTATCTAAATGTAAAAAAAAAAAAAACGCGTGCATGGAGGCAAGAGAAAGGTACATTAAAAGTAAAGTCAATGGTGAGTATAATGTACGTCAGTTTTAATTGTACATTTTTTGTTAAATTTCTATGTACTTTTTCCAGGCAAGCATGATGAATTAGGTTAAGGTGTAGCATGTAGAACACTTAGGACTTTTTTTGTAATCATTGGTTCCCCTGTTCTACAAAATATCTCAAAATAAAAATTACTGGCAATGAGTTTGGCCTGCTTCTCTTTATTTCTAATCACGAATGACTCACTGTGCTCATGGTGGTGTTTTTGCAACTTGAATTTTGTTCAGCAGCACAGCTACAAGTGCAGACTACGGTGCTGCGACGTTTACATCCCGCTTAGAGTCCCAAGTCAGCAGACTGAATTACACCAGGAGTGCTGGATACACAAGCTTTGAACCCGCCGGCTAAATGTAGCTCTGGCTGAGATCACCACGTTTCAGAGACGATACCTCGGTCTGCAGATTACATAACAATTACGTAACAAATGTGTACATTAGAATTTTAAGACTGCAACGTTTAACCAGTTCTGCAGTGCTGACACTCAACAGAACAGGTGTGGGAGCACAGTACGATCCCAGTTCAGGTCACAGCGCAGGCAGCACAACTAAATATCAAAACTGCAGAATCGCATCAGAATAGTAGGTTATGGTGACAGGGACAAAGTCACACTGACACTCAATTTTGTTACACAGGACACTGGAGAGTGTTATTTAGGAGTCAATGTGGGGGTTTGTTCACACTGAAATATGATTTCCATGGATATGTAAATGGTTATTTTAGGGGATAAATAGGCAAAAAACTGTTTTGGCTCACATATTAAAAATAGCAAATAGAGATGAAGTAGAGCCAATTGTTACTACACTGGTGGGTAGTTTAATCCATGACAGTACACTGAACAAACCACAACATTAAAAGCGCTAAAATATGAAGTGAACAATGCTGCTATTGTCCACAGGGAAACTTTTGATATAGATGGGGATCTCAGAGGAAACTTTTACCACTTAAAGTTTGCTTTCCTTTAACTTGCACCCTGCCACGCTGCAAAAAAACAGCTCAAGGAACACAACAAAGAGCCCGAGGCGTTGACCTGACCTCAAAACTCTGAGGATCCCAGTGTCACAGAGTCTTAACAGGATGTGCCAGAATAAGCCCGATCCACAGAGGCCTCATCCCTCAACCCTCAACCCGAAGGAACTGTTGCCCCGATGCCAAACACCACAGGAAACTCCCAGAGGTTCGGTGTCTGGGGTTCAACGGGTCACAGGGACCTACATGATGTTAGACAGGTAGATATCATTGTATATACATAAATATAAAGTACAAAGTGCCTAACAATAGTTCCTAAGTACAGTGTAAGTAAATTTCTATGGGATTCCGGCAGCAAATAACCCTTAAACAACATGAACTTCTGGTGTCATGAACTGTTTCTGAACCAAAATGTGCATGTGTTTGCTTTGAATACTCCCTCTTAATAGATCAATTTTTGTCTGCAGGAGGCAAACCGGTTGGAGACTGCTTTAGCAGAGCAGAGGCTGTAATTTTAAACAAATCTAACCTCACAGGGAGGGAAGGAACTGCAGTACAAAGGTTGGAGCTGATTGTCTCGCTATAATCAGATACAGCTGGGCTTGGGTTTCTCACTGCTGCTACTTCCTGCTGGGAAAAATCAGGCCAGCTCTGTGCTGTTGTTGTTGTTTTTTTTTTTTTGCTGCTTTTCCTGGTAACGACACCAGCCACGGCGATTAAACCCTGCTGGAACAGTCAGATAAAAGCTGAGGCACCTGATTTGCTTCAAGTGATAGAATAAGAGGAGCGCCTATAAACTAAATGTAGGCCAAAACTCTGTCAGCATCCAAGCTGTTTTCTCTCCCACCACCTTCGCTTCGAACCTCTTTCTCATTCGCTTCCTCATTCTGTCCATTTTCTTTTCTGTTCTCGCTCTTACAGGAGGTATGTGTCACTTGTAGTTTAATTGTCTGCACCTCGGATCAGCTGTCAACAGTCACACACAGGTTTCTTCACTACTGCCGTCATGAGAACAACTCCTTCAATACTTCCTCTCTGCACACATTCTTACGCAAATTCCCACTAATATTGTGAACGTCGCCTCGCTCTTGCACCTACATACCTCCCTTTCTCATGCCACCTCCTGTCTGCCACTCATCCCTCGCCCTCTGAGGTCTTCCCCGTGTCCTGGGCCTGTCAGGTGTTGTCAGGTTAAAAATAAAACCCAGCAACACCAAGATAAGCAGCTCAACTCACCACCCATCAGCTGACAGTAGCTTAACGCATCAGGCTCCTAATTCAAGGTCATGAATGCTATTCTCTTTCCTGGAAGACCAATTAAAACTTGGTGTTTTCAATTTCAGCAACCGCCAGGAACTGCTTAAGCTTCTACAGAGTTTCCTCTCATCGGAAAACATTAAAACGGCTTGTATAACCGCATTGACCTGATTGGCAGAGGCCGGCTGAATAAACATGGAAACAAAAAAGCAAACGGCTCCAATGGTTATCTGCTACAACTTGAGGCTGCCAGTTTTGGCTCCTCAGAGTCAGAATGTGTGTCCATATTGAGACCAGAGTTGGATGCTAAAGTTAGAACACAAAGTGCCTTCATAAATAGACATCACCTCTCAGGGACCTACGCTTTGAAAGCTTCAACTCCTGCCAAAGTTACACAGTGTCCCGACCTCATACTTATCACTTTACACACCTCGACGCAACATATGTTTTGACATCAGACGTACAGAACTTTTCATTCGTCAGTGATTCTCAAACGAGACAACGTGCCTCCTGGGGATTAAAATATGGACTGGAACTAAACTGAATGAATGATTTATGCAGGAAAATAAACACAAAATTTGCTGACTTGAATGATTCACTTTATTTGAATAAAATTCAGCTTGGCTACATTTGGTAGTTGCGCCTCCGGTAATGGAAAATTAAATTGCTTATTGTGTAGTGAAGGGACATGAACCTTTTTTTTTGGCTTCTGGAGGGAGGCATGACAGAAAAACTTTAAACACTGCTTTGGAGATTCCTCCCTGGAGAGATCATTACATCTCTTTAGAACCAATCATTCAGTGCAAATATTTTCCAGGAGAAAAATCTCTTCCTGCCCTGCAATGGTTTAGCTGTAACTACACAGTTGCTTTCTTTAGACTGTGTGGATTTATGAATTCACTGCAACTGAGCACACCAGCTCACCTACAACTCTGCTCAAACATTGTGAAATAACGCTATTCTACACAAGTTTAGCATATTGGAATAATTCTGTCATACATGTTTAAAGCCAAAAGTTGATGCTGAAAAAGAATTATGATACTTGAAGCCAAACCCTGAAGGGTAACAGCAATGATTTCTTAGGTTTTTATTTGTATCAAACCCTTTTTTGAAATAGTCATCAGTACCTTCAGCTGTGACTGCTTATTTCCTACACGATTATTCCTACATTATCTATACACCGCTTAATCCTCACTAGGGTCATGGGGGGCTGGAGTCTATCCCAGCTGACTCAGGGTGAAGGCAGGGGACACCCTGGACAGTCTATCACAGGGCTACACTTAGAGACAGACAACCAACACACTTACATTCACACCTATGGACAATTTAGAATCACCAATTAACCTCAACATGTTTTTGGACTGTGTGGGAGGAAGCCGGAGAACCTGGAGAGAACCCACGCTGCATGGAGGAGAACATGCAAACTCCACGCAGAAAGATCCCGGGTGTCCTAACCAGGATGCAAACCAGGGCTCTTCTTGCTGCGAGGCAACGATGCTAAGCACCATGTCACCTTTGTCTAAGTCTGGCCCTACAATGGACTGGCGACCTGTCCAGGGTGTCCCCTATCTTCACCCTAAGATGGCTGGGATAGGCTCCAGCCCCCTCGTGACCCTAGTGAGGATTAAGCGGTGTATAATGGATAATGGATGGATTGATGGACATATTGCAGGCAAAGTATATTTCAAATGTAAAATCAACAGTCAGGAGTATTTTTTTTTTTTTTTTTTTTTTTTTATTGCTCTGCAGCTTGATAGACATGTTACAAAAAACAAAACAAAACAGTATTGTTTACGTTGGGTGAAAATACCAACCTTTTCTTTAATTCTCAGGACTAGAAAGTTCATTGTAACTGTGAAGACCGAAGTCAAAAGCTGACATTTCGAAGCCGTGTGTGATCAATTTGAGTAAAATGGATCAGCTCTCAATTAAGCTTAAGCACTTTAGAGCCGTGATAAACAACAGTGACTAAC